AGGAGTAAAATATCTTTTGAAGTAAATCAGAAACATGTAAACTTCAAATAAATGTTAAAGAAGATACAATCTAAGGAAGAGTTTTGACTTATATACTTGCTTTGGGCTGCACTCTAAACTGTGGGCAAGGATTGTCTGACTAAAAGTCACTGTCAGCTTCTGGCAGTCGTACATGGAAGCATGTAGAACCAGACGCACACAGCACTTGGTTCTTGGCTTCTGTCCCTGACTTTCGGAAAGCTGAGACCCTTCTGAGCGAGTCTCAGCATTCTGGGTTAAACAGGGCAGCTGCAGCAGGACCTGTCATGTAATCTTAGTTGCAGGCCCCTGAAAGGGTGAAGGGTATCTTCTGTTCTCTAGGTTCCTAGTGTGATGTGTGGAGCTTTCTTACCTTGCTAGCCCCTGAGGGTCAGAATGCGGTAATTGAGACCTCTGCTGTGCTGGATGAGCCAGAGAAACACACCATGGAAAAGAGGCTGGGGTGCTCAGCAAGGGGTTTATCTATTTTTAAAATCCTGGGGCTGGAGATGGCTCAACAGTTAAGAGTGTTGTGTTTGCTGGTCATGTAGAAGATCAGAGTTCAGTTCACAGTTCCCACAACAGGCTGCCCACAGCTGCATGTAACTCTAGCTCCAGGGATTCTAGCGCCCTCTTCTGGTCTCTACAGGCACCTACACACATGTGCATGTACACACATATACACATACACACAAACAGAAAAATAAAGCTTAAAAAAGAAAGTATGAAACAAAGACACGCAAAAGGACAGAGTGACTTCACTGGAACTCCACAGTGCTTGGCCACTGTGACTTCACTGGAACTCCACAGTGCTTGGCCACTGTGTCTGCATGTGAGAGGCAGATAGGGACAGTGAGAACTGCATTCCAGACACTAGGAAAGGCTTGATCAGCAAAAGACATAATGACAATAAGATTACAAGTCTATGAGACACTTGTCTAAATTCTAGGCATCACACGAAGGGATAGGCTGTGCAACAGTGACATTGAGAAACATCTTCATCTACAGAAGGAAGTAGACTACAGGATACGGCAGTGGCACTTACGTTACTTCAGCCGTGTTATGAGAACGAATGACAGCACATACCCGAAGAAAGCACTGCTTGAAGAAGTGCATGGGATAAGATGAAGAGGAAGACCCAAAAAACGCTGGACAGAAAGCATAAAGGAAGACTGTGGAAGCTTGGTATGATGATAACATGAGTACCTAGGACTGCCCAGGATAGGAACAACTGGAGAACTGCCATAAATGGGTTGCCCATGTGTGCTTATACATTGGCAGGGCATAGATGATGATGATGATGATGTGTCTGTGAATGCCTGGGACAAAGAATGCTGAGTTTGGTAATGTCTGTGAGGGAACATGGAGAGAGGGCAGAGAAAGCTCATTCCAGGCTGGGCAACAAATGGCCAGATCACACCCAGCTACAGGAGCAGCCTGCTCGGGTATGACTGCGCCCCCTGGTGGCAGAGAGGTTGAAATGGAAGGGGGTGTGGCTCCAGGGGCAGTGTCCTGAGAAACCTAAGGACATGGGCCTGAATATTGATAATGGATCTGAAGCTCATAGAGCAGTAATCTAGGCCTGGTATCCTAGCAATTGGAGAGCTGATTCAGGAGACCTCTGGGTTCAAGTCCAGCCTGGGGTCCATAGTAAGGTCATGTCCTGTACATGCTCACCCTCCCTGTTCATAAGATAGAGTCGCGATCTCTACCTGACTAGGTTATATGACCTTGATGGGCACAAAACACCGGGAGTCTGTGGAGCATCTCTGTGTGTGGAAGAAATGAGCCCGCATTTGTGCAGCCCGGTCCCAGGCACTGCCGTTGCTGCTGTTGAAAACGCTTTGACTGTGGTAGGATTTGCACACCAGACCCCCTTCTTGGCCACAGAGCTCATTTTTCGTCATACTGCCAGGGTCCACTGCTCACAGTTCAGTTACTTCTGGTCCCCAAGGAGCCGCACCCCCGCCCACACCCTGCCCCAGGTGTTATCTTGCTTGGGAGCCTGCAGCTGGTGACTATCTCACGTAGGGCTGGTACTTTCTGCCTCAAGACGAGCCGCGACTGCCGCAGGCGGCTCCAAAGTTTCCTTGGAATGGGCGGACTCTGGCAAAGCAAAACCCCTCTTCTTGCTTGGCTCCGTCCGAAGCCCCATTCTGCTCCTTTGCCCCTTTCCTTTCCTCCTTCCTTTCACGTACATGTGTATGTAGTGTGTGTGTGTGTGTGTGTGTGTGTGTGTGTGTGTGTGTGTGTGTGAGCATGTGTGGGCACATTTGATGAGGGTGGAGGCTCAAGGATGTTGTCGGTGTCCTCCTTTCCTTCTCTCCTCCTCCTTCTTCTTCTTCTCTTGGTTTTTCAAGACAGGGTTTCTCCAAGTAACAGCTGTGGCTGTCCTGGGACTCTCTCTGTAGACCAGGCTGACCTTGAGCTCAGAGATCTACCTGCCTCTGCTTCCTGAGTGCTGGGATTAGAGGTGTGTGAACCTCCTCCCAACTCCTGGGTGTCTTTCTTGATTGTGCTACACTGTTCACTCTGAGGCAGGGTCTCTTTCTGACCCTCCAGACTAGCAGCTTGTTCTGGGAGTTCCTTGTCTCTGTCTCCTGTGCACTGAAATTGCATGTGGATCACCGCACGCTCTTCGCCTTTACGTGGACCTGGGGATCTGGAAGCAAACACTTCATGTGCTGAACCACCACCCCCCAGCCCAATTCCTTGGTCTTTTCTAAGGGTTTTTCTTTTGTTAATTGATATTTATTGAGCTCTACATTTTTCTCTGCTCCCCTCCCTGCCTCTCCCCTCCCCCAAGGTCCCCATGCTCCCAATTTACTCAGGAGATCTTGTCTTTTTATACTTTCTACTTCCCATGTAGATTAGATCTATGTAAGTCTCTCTGAGGGTGCTCACTGTTGTCTAAGTTCTAGGACTGTGGTTTGTAGGCTGGCTTTCTTTGCTTTATGTTTAAAAACCACCTATGAGTGAGTACATGTGATAATCGTCTTTCTGTGCCTGGGTTACCTCACTCAAAATAGTGTTTTCTAGTTCCATCCATTTTCCTGCAAAATTCAAGATGTCATTATTTTTTTCTGCTGTGTAGTACTCCATTGTGTAAATGTACCACATTTTCCTTATCCATTCTTCGGACAAGGGGAATTTAGGTTGTTTCCAGGTTCTGGCTATGACAAACAGTGCTGCTATGAACATAGTTGAGCACGTGTCCTTGTGGCACGATTGAGCATCCTTTGGATATATACCCAAAAGTGGTATTGCTGGGTCTTGAGGAAGGTTGTTTCCCAATTTTCTGAGAAATTACCACACTGACATCCAAAGGGTCTGTACCAGCTTGCATTTCCACGAGCAATGCAGGAGTGTTCCCTTTACCCCCACATCCTCTCCAGCATAAGTTGTCATCAGTGTTTTTGACCTTGGTCATTCTTTCAGGTGTAAAATGGAATCTCAGAGTTGTTTTGATTTGCCTTTTTCTGATGACTAAAAAACATTTCCTTAAGTGTCTTTCAACCATTTTAGATTCCTCTGTTGAGAGTTCTATGTTTAGGTCTTTACTCCTTTTTTTGTTGTTGTTAGATTATGTGTTCTTTTGGTGACCAATTTCTTGAGTTCTTTGTATATTTTGGAGATCGACCTTTGTCTGATGTGGGGTTGGTGAAGATCTTTTCCCATTCTGTAGGCTGTTGTTTTGTCTTGTTGACTGTGTCCTTTGCTTTACAGAAGCTTTTCAGGAGGTCCCATTTATTAATTGTTTCTCTCAGTGTCTGTGCTGCTAGGGTTATATTTAGGAAGTAGTTCCCTGTGCCAATGCGTTCAAGTGTACTTCCCACTTTCTCTTCTATAAGGTTCAGCGTGGTTGGCTTTGTGTTGAGGTCTTTGATCCATTTGGACTTGAATTTTGTGCATGGTGATAGATCTGGGTCTATTTTCATTCTTATACATGTTGATATCCAGTTATGCCAGCACCACTTGTTAAATATGCTTTCTTCTTTCCATTTGGTATTTTTTGCTTCCTTGTCAAAAATCAGGTGTTCAAAGATGTGTGGATTGATATCCGTGTCTTCTATTCGGTTCCATTGGTCCTCCTATCTGTTCTTATGCCAATACCAGGCTGTTTTCAGTACTGTTGCTCTGTAGTAGAGTTTGAAGTCAGGGATTGTGGTGCCTCCAGAAGTTCCTTTATTGTATAGTATTGTTTGGGCTATCCTGGTTTTTTGCTTTTCCATATGAAGTTGAATACCATTCTTTCCAGGTCTTTGAAGAATTTTTGCTGGGATTTTGATGGGCATTACGTTGAATCTGTTTCTAAGGATTTTTCTCATACGCTCAGATCTGTCACGGTTTAGGGGTGTAAGGAATAAATAGTTGTGCATGCCTGTGTATGTGAATTTAAACACAAGGAGCACATCACCCAGGCTTTGTACCCACCGAGCTCATGGTCTGTCCCTGGGCTGCTCTCCCCACCTACGAGATGAGCTATGGATGAAGAGATTCACCCCGTGCCTGGTTTGTGGCAAGAACTCAGCAACATCGCAGATAATGGTTATTCGTAAGACTGGGGTCCCAGGCACCTTTAGTCTGCAACAGTAAGAGGAGGGAGTCCGACAGGTTGTCAGAGGGACAGGATGTCTGGGTGAACCGGAAGGCTCCTTCAGTTCTGCAGCAGTTTCATTGGCTACCCCTCCTGTACCAGCAGGGGGCTCCACCTACATGCAAATGCGTTTTCCCTGCGGCTCCAATCAGGTTCTATCAAAGCTGCCTGAGTTGAGCAGAGGAAAACAATTTAATGTGTGCACAGATAACAGAAGCAAGCAGAGCAGAGGGGATGCGGGGTTGCACTGGACAGGGAAGCTTCCAGGAGTGAGGCAGGAACAATATAGGTAGGTGACTTTCTGAGGGAAGCTATTATCCTCATGTAGGGGTCAGGGCCCGGTCCAGGCAAGGCAGCAGCCACACATTGGCCAAAAGGGTCCATAATGGACACCGCAGAGGAAAACGTGACCGCAGGACTTGTAAGAATGCAGAACAATGGGCCGGTGCATGAGGGAGAGAACAAGAGTGAGACAGATTTCCTGAATTCTGAGGGCATTTTCTCCCGTGTTATGCCCGTCCGCAGCAACCTCGTGTTTCATAGTTCTCTTCAAACAAACTGTAATTCTGCTGGATCCCCGCTCTGTGAGGACTTCAGGACGCAGGGCAGGGCCCAGAGGTGTTAGTAGCTGAGAGGTGCCACTATATCTTTCTAATGAAAAGTGGAGGAGAAAGGTCTAGAAAAGCCCCCCAACTCAGCCCTTCCTATAAACTAGGGGCTGTGGATCAGCCAGGGTTGGAATTAGCAAGGGGACAAGATGGGAATGTTGAAGGGTCTCAGAGAAGGGAGGCAGAGTCACCCATTGGGGCTAGCGGGCCACAGCCTCTGCTGGGTTGTCTACAGTTCCCCAGGAAACTGCTTCTGGAAGATGTTGCTGAACCTGAGGCCGTGCTACCTGGGCCTCGCTCTAAGAAACTGTCTCCTCCCCCGCACACCTCCCCGGAAACAGGCGGCGTCACCCTTGGCCTTTGCCAGGAAGCTGCCCACGCGTGCGTAGTAGGACTTGCCATTGAGAAACCGCTTGGGAGACGCACATAACAGCTATGAAAGATGCCTGGGGAAGTGCCCTCAAAGCGCGTTGAGACCAAACTCTCCCTGGGGTACTCTGGAGCCAACAGGAAGGAAAGCCTTTTCGTACTCGTCACTCTAGCGCCCTCTGCTGACAAGGTTTGACATTGGGCCTGCTGTTCAGGAAGAGCTGTAGAGGGTGGGGTTTTGTTGTTTTGTTTTATTTATTTGGTTTGTTTGTTTGTTTGTTTGTTTTTGACAGGGTTTCTCTGTGTAGTTTTGGAGCCTGTCCTGGAACTCTCTCTGTAGACCAGGATGGTCTTGAATTCACAGATAGCCACCTGCCTCTGCCTCTGCCTCCCAAGCACTGGGATTAAAGGCATGCGCCACCACCGACAGGCTTAAAAACTAATGTCAGATGTTATTAAATCCTACTAGGAGACCAGAGAGCACTTCCTTAAAAACCATTTGAAGAGTCGGGCGGTGGTGGCGCATGCCTTTAATCCCAGCACTCGGGAGGCAGAGACAGGCGGATCTCTGTGAGTTCGAGGCCATCCTGGTCTACAAGAGTTAGTTCCAGGACAGGCTCCAAAGCTACAGAGAAACCCTGTCTCAAAAAACTAAAAAAAAACAAAAACAAAAACAAAAAAAAACCAACCAACAAACAAACAAACAAAAAAAACATTTGAACAGTTTTACAGAGGGAATATTTCTGCCAGCTGAGAAATTAATCAAAATAAGGGACTCAAGAGAAAAAAAAAGGCATAAAAAAAAAACAAAGACTTGGGTGTGGTGGTGCACGACCCTGAATGAGATCACAGAGCTTAGGTGGCGAGGAGGAGAGGCTAGGGATTCCAAGGCCAGACTTGGCTGTGGAGTGAGTATGAGAGGAACATGGGTTATACGGACTTGTCTCAGTCATTTCCAGTCCACAAGAGCAAGTCATAATTAAATCAAAATTGTGCAAATAAAATAACTGTGATTTTTATATTCTTGTAAACTTTATTAGAAAACCTTGCAAATAAAAATACATCACACACTAAAATTAACTAGACCCAAAGTCTATACATCTCAATGAATTTCTATATTAGAACAGCCATTTTTCAAGTTATGAAGCTTCACTCTGGATTTTATACTTTCACTATCAAATATATTTTTATGTACTTATTCACCATCCAAAACACGAAAAATCTAAAATTGCTATTTTTGTGGCCCTGAAACTCACTTTAGTAAAAATTGGGACATACCAAAGGGATGGGTGCACACAAATCTCATGTATCTTAGAATATGTCAACAGCTGTGAACTCCCAGGCTCAAGAGATCTTCCCATCCCTGGTTAGCTGGGACTATAAACAAAAACTATTGTGCTACTCCAGAAAAATGTCTCTGTATGATTAAAAGGTAAGGAAATAGACAATAACTTGAAAGAGCAAAGAAAATATAGGCAAAAGCAGAGAAATCAGCATTCAAAGCAGAAAGCAGCAACTACAAAATGGACGGCATAAAAATCCCTTCCACTGTGGGCCGCATCTTTAGTCCTCGCTCTTGGGAGGCAGAAGCAGTCAGATCTCTGAGTTTGAGACTGGCCTGGTTTACTGAGTGAGTTCCAGGAGAGCGAGGACTACACAGAGAAACCCTGTCTCAAAAACCAAACAAACAAATAAAAAAGATTGTATCCCCAAAGAATAAATAAAAGGTGCCAAATTTGGGGAATCTAGGCCCCCTCTCCACTAGGGACAACAGGATGAACCAGACAAAAGACTGGCACCTGCCTGGAAGCAGAGGGTTCCTAACCATGTCAGGTAAGACAACGGGCCAACATCTGGAAGAAACCAGACATGGTGACGGGTGAGCTGGGACCTGGGCGGCTTCAGCCCTGGCCATGGGTGCCAGTGCAAAGGAAGCCGAGAGGCAGGACATGTATGTGGATGGACCCAGGACCAGTGTATAAAAGACAGGATCTGCAGTGGACAAGATGGCCACTCCCCTCACAGGTACAGACACGCTGTACCCAAGACCGAGTTTTCTTCTCCTTGTACACCGTGGGCCCAGTTCAAGCCGTCAAAACTCAACTTCTGCAAGCAGATTCGAGTCATTCCAGACTGCCAGCTCTTAGATTTGCTGGGCTCCAAATAAGCAAATAACTGTTTTCTTCCGAAGAAAATGACATCATCCCAGCATCAATTATTCTTACAAATGCATCCACAAATGCAAGCCTTGAACATAATGGGAAAACAGCTGGGGGTGTCTGCGCCTACTCAGGAGGCAGAGACTCCTAAGAGAACATTGCTCCCACTACAATGTCGTGTGCTGCCTGGAACACTGATAAAAATCTTAGTTTGAAAATTCCTTCAGGAAGCAGAAGTGGCAATGCAAGCAAGAGACACACACTCTCAGCTCAGAAAGCTACCGGCTAGACTGCAGAGCACAAAGACATTGCGGGAGTCTACTAACACTTGCTGAAGGAAGGACTGGCATCCTGTCCTCAAATTATTTGAAATGAGCCATGATCTGGACGGAACTAAGGCTGCAGCAAATCCAGTATCCGCTCAGGCTGGAAACGACTTGGTCGTGCACTCCAACAGCCTGACGGAGACCAAAGGGATATGCCCTTCCCAAGGTGTGTGTCTCATGTCCTAAGTCTCTACTGTTTCACCTAAAACTTAAAATGGCCTTGAAAAATAACAATATTCGGGAAAAGTCAGAACAGCGTTATAGTTACTTTGCAGCAGGGTGACTGTAACTCACTATGTGTTAAACTTTAAGGCTGTAACCCAAAATAAAACAGGTGTGGCGGAGCACATCTGTAACCCCACATAAGGCAGGTGTGGTGCTGCACATCTGTAACTCCATAGAAGACAGGTGTGGTGGTGCACATCTGTACTCCATATAAGACAGGTGTGGTGGTGCACATCTGTAACCCCACATAAGGCAGGTGTGGTGGTGCACATCTGTAACCCCACATAAGACAGGTGTGGTGCTGCACATCTGTAACTCCATAGAAGACAGGTGTGGTGGTGCACATCTGTACTCCATATAAGACAGGTGTGGTGGTGCACATCTGTAACCCCACATAAGGCAGGTGTGGTGGTGCACATCTGTAACTCCATAGAAGACAGGTGTGGCGGTGCACATCTGTAACCCCATAGAAGACAGGTGTGGCGGTGCACATCTGTAACCCCATAGAAGACAGGTGTGATGGTGCACATCTGTAACTCCATAGAAGACAGGTGTGGTGGTGCACATCTGTAACTCCATAGAAGACAGGTGTGGCGGTGCACATCTGTAACCCCATAGAAGACAGGTGTGGCGGTGCACATCTGTAACCCCATAGAAGACAGGTGTGATGGTGCACATCTGTAACTCCATAGAAGACAGGTGTGGAGGTGCACACTCTTGAACTCTTGATCTGCCTCTGTGGGGTTACAGAAAGTAGAAAATTACATAAATAAAGGCAGAATATGATATTTAGTCTTCAATTATTACTCTTAGCTCACTAAATTGAAAGAAATGTTTCAACCTGAAATGCTTTTAATGCACACACAGAGAGAGACACTAACATAGGCACATAGACATACACAAGTACATGGACACACACACACACTAACACAGGCACAAACACACAGATATACACAGGCAAATAGACACACAGAGACATATTAACACAGACACACACACACACAAAGGAACATAGAAACACACATAAACACAGGCACATAGACACACACAGACACACACACACAGATATACACAAGCACATAGACACACAGAGACACACTAATACAGACACAGATACACACATACAGGCACATAAAAACACAGAGACACACTAACGGATACACAGGTACACTGACATACACACAGAGAGATATACATACACACAGATACACAGACACATACAGATACACACACACAGGTATTACATACAGAGACACGTACAGATACACACACAGACATGCATGTGCACACACACATACACCCCATGGGATGAGAGCAAGGATGCTTGCTTGACTATATATATTGACTATCATTCAATATTGCATGTAATTTGTAGTCAATATAATAGGAAGTAAACGAAATCAAAGTTAAATAGATTGGGAAATAGATGGGCAGCTATTTACTTGAAGATGTCATGATTGCATCTGTAGGGTCTTCCAGAAGAACTACTTGAATTAATAAGTGAATTTAAAAAGGTTTCAAGATTCAGGAGCAGTTGTACAAATGGCAGTATTTTATTTTATTCATTTATCCGTGCTTAACAATTCTGAGTCCTGAGCTTGGGAACTTGGGCCTTGTATTGAACTGTCCCTCCCCAACCCTGCAACCACTCTATTTTTATGCTGATGTAAACACTAAAAAAATAAATCCTTTGTTGTCATTTATAGCAAAACAACATGAAACACTGATAAACAAAATGTTTGCAATCCCTTTACACTGAGAAATGGTAAACCTTTGCTAA